GTGGTTGCAGCATTAGGGAGTTTGAGAACCACTGCTTTGAACAGTTTACATTGGCTTGTGCTCTGAGGTCAGAGTAACAGATAAGGGACTAAAATAAAATTCTTAAATGAGGGCCCACTGAGATGCTCAGTGGATAAAAGCACCTGCTGCCAGACATGACAACCTGAGTTTCATCTCTGGGACTCACATGGTAAAAGGAAAGAATCAACTCCATAAAGTTCACACACACACACATGCACGCATGCACACACGCACGCATGTACACACACATCATATGCACATGCACATGTGCACTCGTGCACTGCACCGCACCACACTGTACTTACGAGCTCGCAGTGGTTGCCTGTACAAGATCAATCCAGTTAACATCCTGCATGGATAGAAGGGTTCACAAGGCCCCACCTCTAGCTGAGGAGCTATTGGCAATTGAGGGGGCCTGTTTTCTTCAGGGGTATGTCTCCAGTAGATTGCCCATGCTCCAGGCTTCAGTGGATGGCCCTGCAACCATACACACACAGGCAGCACTAATAGGATTCAAAAAACTTTTTTTTTTAAAAAAAGACGTGAAGTTGGGAGGGGTACATGGTCGGAGGAGAGTAGAGAGGGATGGATGTTATCAAAATACATTGTATTTATATATAAAATTCTCGAATAATGAATTAAAATGTAAAATACATGTTTAGAGGTTAAAAAAAAAAAGAATCTCTTAGTATAATGACAGTTGATGAACATCAGTCATCAGGCTTCTTAAAGCAAACAAACACCAGTCTTAAAGCAGATGTCACAGCAGGTTTTGGAATTTATGTGTGAGGAATGACAAACTGGTAATGACAGGAGCCACTCAATGGTTGACCAAAGCTGAAGGTCAGGGAAGCGTGGGCTGCAGCAGAACACAGATGACCTTGAGGATGATGGAAATGACTCCTGCCTCAGTTGTGGTCACCTGGTGGATATATCTGCCAGGTTCTCAAACAGCATTCAGAGTGATTGCAGTGAAACTGTTTTTTAAAAAATGAATTAAGGGACTCTTAAAATTAAAGTGAAATAAAACAACAGCAAAAATTCTTGACATATCCTTAACTTTGCAGACGTTTACTCAGAAGCAAAGAGAAGTGGGTTCCTTTGGTCTTTTCTCAAGGCTGACTTGACTCCACGCTCTAGCGGACTAGTTTCTGATTTAGTCTGAGATGGAACCCAAAAGGTTCAGGTTTTATAAAAGCACAGCCTGGCTTGGGAGCCATGTAGTTACATGACTGACTATATTTGTAAGAATCATGCTTTTTGTTCAGAAGGGAAGTGACAGATAATAAGCTGTTCTTTGTCTCTTGGGCAATCTTTTGGGATATATCAACAACCCCTGCATAGCTGTGGGCATGCCTTCAGAGGCCAGAGGTGGGGTCTGACTCACTTTTGTCACAAAGTCTTTATATGGTGAAGTAACGGTAAACATTTGCTGTGTGAACATTTTTTTTTTTTAAACAACTGTGGACTTGTCTCACAATGAAGACTCATTTAACAATGTACCCATTCTAAAGAGTGTTCAGTTAAGTCAGAGATGCACCACCTTCTCAGACCAAATGCATGCTTTTGGCTGAGTGTGCCAGCCCATTCAAGGAACAGTATCCTTCACCGTATAGCTTTAACACGTTTCCTGTGTCAACTTCTCCAGAATGGAATGAAAAGTATACATTCATGGAGCCTTCCTCCCCAGCAGAGAAACAGGAAGTGCAGATTTCTGTGTGAAGATAACAGGGTGTCAATAATGCAAAAGATTAAGGAGAGAATTAAACCAAGGAAAAGGGGAGGGAGCTGTAGGCTTGTGAGTCTGAGTTACACAGTAACATTTAAGCAGGAATTTAAGGAAAATGAAGGAGCTAGCTATGAGTAAATGAGGGGGCAGAACTCTCTAGTCTTAGGAGCCACTGAGCAGGAGTGTGGCTGGCAGATGAGCCAGAATGGGCAGGGCAGGAGGTACAGAGGTGACATCAGCTCATATTTGGCATAGGTCTTAAAGCATCACTTTGTTGTTTTAAACGGGGATTATAGAAGTATAAAATTGGGGACATTGGTTCAGTAGTCCCTGGAGGAATGTGTTCGCTCGTCTGCCAAGAAAGTTTCCTTAATGTCAAGTTGTTTTATAAATTCTACTTAACTGTGCTTTGGAAATTATTTTCTACTTTGATTTATAGCATTGACCATTTAAAAGACACTGTTTTATCCACTGTCTCAGCTAATCCTTACAGTTTTTCAATTCTGACAAAGTAACTATTATCTCCCTGCAGACCTAGAAGCTAAAATGTTACAAGCCAAGTCCAAAGTCACATGGCAAGTTTGTGTATGGTCAAAAAGACAGATGTACAACTCTGTCTCCACATGAATCCACTGACTTTGTGAAAGGAGTTTATTATGTTCAGATTATGCTTGAAGATTATACTTGAAAGGGGACATTTATGTTAGTAAGTTTCATGTCTTCTTAAAACATCCCCCAGTGAGCAAGACCCTGTGTGCAAAGGGAATAGGTATGAAGATGTGTGAAGCATATTCCAACCCTGTCAATTTATTTCTTGTGGTGATGACACTAGAGCAGTAAATACCTAGTGAAGGGTGACTTGCTCAGTTTCACACAAGTGCTTCAAAGGAAGTCATGATGGTGGCCTGAGAGGTTATTGCAGCAGGGAGGCAGGGACTTGTGGTAGACAAATTAATTTTAAGTTCAAAACGTTAAGACAGTAGATGATCCAAATTTAAAATATTCTAAGTTGAGAGCCTATAATAAGAATTTTATTTGCAAGATAAAGCCAGCTTAAGTAGAATTTAAGATGAGCTTCAGTTTGGCAATGGATGGCTCAGACCTCTCTGGCTGGCTATGCCATATCCTACTTACTTCTGAGGCACACTTGAAAGTTCAACGTGGAACCTGGTATGTTGATAGGTACTATAATCTGAGCACTCAGGAGGCCAAGGCTAGAGGACCACAAGTGTGCTGATTAGTGTTTGTTTGTTTATTTGTCAATTTGACACAACCTCAGGTTATCTAGGAAGAGGAAACCTCAGCTGAGAAAATGCCTCCATCAGATTGTCTTGTAGGCAGTCAATCTTGACTAATTGACGTGGGAGGGCCCAGCCCATTGTGGACAGAGCCATCCCAGGAAGGTAATCTTGGATTATGTTAGAAAGCAGGCTGAATAAACCAATGTGAGCGAGACAATTAGTAGCCTTCCCCCCCGCCCCCCCCCCCGTGGTTTTTGCTTCTTACCTGCCTCCAAATTCCTGCTTAAGCTGCTGCCCTGGCTTCCTTCAGTCATGGAGTATAAGCTGTAGGATGGAATAAAAACCTTTTATCCCCAAGCTGCTTTGGGTTATGGTGTTTGTCAGAGCAGGAGAAAACAAGCTAGGACAGATAGAATCCAGCCTAGGCTACATACCAATACACACACAAACCTATAACTCTATTCTTGGAAAGTGCAAAATGTCAAGGAATATATTTAACCTCGTCGTTAAGGAGAGAAATAATGTGGTCAGTGGCATACTTAAGGTTTAAAATGGTGGTGTTGTAAGAAGTATATGGGAATCAGGAAAAAAGAGAGAGAGAGAGAGAGAGAGAGAGGTTGAGAGTTGGCAAGGCTTGTGCCAACCTGTATGCACCAACTTAGACCCAAAGAGTCTCTCCCCACCTCAGCTTTCATTATAATTTGCTTCACTTGAAGGGCAGAGCACAGACAGCTTCCACAGTTACCCCCTTCTCACTAAAGTAGATATAGCCCCATAAAGATGATCCTATGAGCTCATGCTTTCCGTTCATTATACTTCCTCCTTTCATTGAGCATTTGCTGATCACTGGTCACTGCCTGTCCTTCTTCCAGGGGATGGGGAGGAGGCAGTCTATAGAAGAAGGTCAAGTTCCTATTTCCATGGAGTTTGCCTTTGGTGTCAGACAATACTGAATAAGCTTGTATGTAAGAAGCCCCTTCTTCACTGCCTTTCACGTACTAAGTACGTTAGCTGTCATTTTGGAGTTGGAACTTGAAACTTAAGTTAAATATGCATCTTGCTAAGAAGCAAGATAATTTGATGGTATACCTTACTGCAGGCTAGAAGATAAGGGAAGAATAACTCATCTGCAGAATTATTTTTTAAATATTTTACCGAAAATTTTAGGCTACTTAAGGGTACTGGATGACTAGCTGCCTGTGCTAGACTACTTTTACTATTCAAGATGAAATAACACATATGTTGTTTGTTCCATTGATCTTGTCTTTCTTAGATCATTTTTATGATCTCCCTGAATTCCAGAAAAGGCTTATTGTTGTCAGTGGTGATGCTCACAGGGACCTTTTGTATCATTATTTACTGGCTGACTGACTGCCTTGGCAAAGCTATGTTCATTCTTTTGTTAACTGTAACAGTAGTCAAAAATGACTTTGGGAGGGGAAGGATAAATGAAAGGAAGGTTCATAGTGCATGCATATGTGACAAGCTTCTTCAGGTCAATTTCTAATTATTATCAGAAATAGCATTTGTCACCAAAAACTCAGGTAGTGGTATCATGTGTCATTTTCTCATTGTTTCTCTCAGCTAGAACCTGTTACTGGTGATGTATGAAGGTTTTGTTTTTGTTTTTCCCACTTCCCCCTTTGACTTTACTACTTCTTATATGGAAGCCCTAAGTTAGTGGGTACACCCACAGTGTAAACAACCCCTTTTAGTGCATTTATGTTGTAAAAGGTTGCATTTTTTTCTGATCTAGCTGCTCTTTCTAAGAAAGTATGGGACAGGGTGACTGACTGGGGTATTTCCTATTGTTGCAAGTCAAGATTTGAGTCAACTTTCATTTTTGACCTTCTGCTTTCAGTTAAAAGCTTTGTAATAAATTTGTGGTATAAGTTTGGGTGAACCTAGGATGCCATTTCTACAGTGTTACATGGTGCACATGTGTCCTTTTTAAAAACAAACTGTGTCAATATGGAGTTGATCACTGCATCTTTTCTGATCCCTTTTAGATGTGAAGCCTTCTAACATGCTTGTAAACACAGGTGGACAAGTCAAGCTCTGTGACTTTGGCGTTAGCACACAGGTAGGTCTTTTTGCTGTTCAGCCTGCCCCGTGGATTGAAAATCACCTAGATTCCAGACAAACAGGAACTGTGCATCTGCTCATCGCCAGGCACACATTATTCATTTTAAATCTCTGAGCGGGTTTCCTTCACCAGAATATGATTGTTCATTGTTTAATGACAGTAAAAACTGCTGATATTGTAATTACTACTTACGAATAGCAAACTTCATTGCTATGCAGCTTGGCTATGAAAGCGCTCTGGCCAGACAAAAGGGAGGACAGCGAGGGAGCCGTGCCTGGGGAGACCAACTGGCCCACAATAAAAATTAATATTGGGAGCAACAATAGTGGAGGGCCATTACGATGTGCAGCACCAATTTTAATTAATTTCCATTTTGGGCCTCCCCTGAGAACCCCAGTGATAGTGACCCATGCGCGTGCTGTGATGTTGATTTGAATTGCAGCCACCTTTCCTCCCATCCAAACATGAAGACCAAAGCGAAGGTCATCTTCGCATTATGAGTTGTCAAAGTCTGTTATCCCTCCAGCCTCTTCAGTTTGTCTCATTCTAGGAACGTGTGGGGCTCCATTCACATCTTGAGCCATCTGACTGAAAGATGAGGGTGTTCAAATTCTACTTCAAATTGACTTTTTATTTCAGGCGGGTTTGGGGCACTAAAGCACTGAGCATCACGCTTAAGTGAATTGTTTAAGGTTATCTGCTATAAACCATAATGTTGTGCTTGTTTAAATTGGAAATCACATCCAAAAGAAAAGAGAGATTTAATCATTTTTAATGCCTTTGTGGATGAATTTGCTCCCTTTTACATAATTTTTAGTTGATTTATTGGAGAGCTGATTGTAGGTTAAATGGGGAATAATTGCCCATTTTATTTTCACATTATCTTTATATTGTTCTAACAGACTGTTTTGTCTCATAGCTGGTGAATTCTATAGCCAAGACGTATGTTGGAACAAATGCTTATATGGCAGTAAGTAAACTTATGCAAAAATAACATTTAAAGCCAACATCTTTATCTTTATGTACTTGGAAATGTATAATTCTTAAATTAATTCCACCACTTCAGACTAGTAAGTTATAAATTACAAAGTCAACCCAGTCACTCTCCAGTTTTCAGATTGTTTGAGAACATTCAAGGCCTTGTGCTCAAGCTATCTACTTATCTGACTTCCTTGACTTAACTGGTCTGTTCAAGTGTGAAATTGCTGAGTTTTGAAGTTTAATCCTACAGAAAAATTGTACTTGATAGTATCTTGGCAATTTTTTCACAGTGCTTATTTAATTAACCCTAATAAACCCTAATAAATGCCAAGGCATCAGTCAGTTGTTTGTTCTAAGGATAGGAACATGCCTCGTCACCAGATCAAAATTGAATTACTGATGTTACCGGTCTTTACCTATGGATCTCCCAATGTTAAGGTTCCATACTTAATTTTCTCTGCAATGTAGATCTTTTGAAAAGTATATTATATTTTTATTTACTTATTGAGAGGTGCCACGTACCATGTAGACCCTGAGGGTCCAGCTCAGGGTGCCAGGCTTGGAAGCTGCTGCCCTCACCTGCAGAGCCATCCTGCCAGTCCTAAGCCGTGGACCTTATTTTCGGTATTTTTCTTTCTTTCTTTTTTTTTTTTTTTTTTTTTTTTTTTTTGTCCATATGGTATCATCATTAAAAGATCTTTGATGTAGGCCGAACTGGGTCTACAGCTTGTTATCCTCAGAACAATACAAGGCATTTCATTTTCTTTTAGATGGTCAAAATAGTTTATTTCAGTTTTCATTATTTTTAGGAAAATTTATATTTTGCGTTTCCTCTAATTAATGTGGAAAAAGTAGATAAGTCATGAAAGTTATTGTGTCTCTTTTTAAAAGTTAGTCTCCTCCATGCCTATCCCAGGGTGAATGACATTGGTGAGTTACTCTTCTAGTTAACAGAGCCCTCCTGAATGTCGGCCTCTGTGAATATGAAAAGGAAAAAAAGCTATCCATGAAACAACTTCTCAACTGCCCATCATGTTCTTGGTAGCTTTAAATTGCTCTGATAATTAAATTGCATCACATCTGAGCTACAAATCCAGATTACAGTTGTCTTTCCCAGGTGTACATTAAAGAAATTACTTTTTTCCCTTTTCGTTTATGGATGAATGTGATGCGTCCATATGTTAATTGAAAGTGTGAGGATTAAAAATATGAAATGTTAGCTCAGATTGGCAAAGCTGAAATTGCTTTGTTTCTTGGGTGAGTGAATTCTAGTCATCAACTTTGTAGTTCAAGCTGTAGAAAGCCTAAGAAGCCAAGGAGGGAAATAATGAAAGTGTGAGAGTAAAAGCTGCAGCTTTGCTTAATTTAGTAGGCTCTAATTGGCCAAGTAGTTGCCAAAGGCTGGCCATGGGGGTGCCCTTCAATACTCTAGTGCAGTATTGATCCAGCTGCTGCCCATGCTGCTAGTCTCTTGGGAGAAGGGCGGGGCTCTTTAGCTTTATGTAAACCTCTGTTTTAACTCTTATAGTCTATAGTATTGCATTCCATATGGGATTCTATGCCAAATGTTAACAAACTATAGCTCCTGGGCCTCTGTTTTGTTTGTTCACTTGCTTTTTTTCATTTCTTCGTTTATTTGTATTATTTATTTATAATATTCATTAATTATTTTAAAGTTTTTGTTTGTTTTCAAGACAAGATCTCCCTGTGTAGCTCTGGCTGGCATGCCTCTGCATCCCAGGTGCTGGGATTAAAGTGTGTACCACCACACCCAGGCCAGGCCTGTTTTGTGAGTATAGTTTTACTGGAATGTACCTGGGTGTGACTTCAGTAGTACCATAGCAGCAGCAATTGTACAATTGCGTGCAGCCCTCTAAGTGAAAACTATTTCCAGGCTGGCCTTTCACAGAAAAAAGCATTTTCCAGCCCCTGGTGTATGTCAGTAACGCACATATCAAGTACCTTCAGCTACCTGAGCTGGTCTCCACTGATCACATTCCATGCTGTGAATCCAGAGGAGACACGGGTAAAATTGGAAAGACACCCTCATATATGGCAACACTGAACTTGGCATAATTGGATTTTTAGTGTACCAAGCATATACATAGAAATTGTAATAGGATGTGCAGAAGGCACTGGCAAATGTACTAGATCTCTTGGTGCTTGTTTGTTTGTTTTAAAGGAGCATGAGGTAGAGTACTGTGTATAGGCTGAGACTCGGGAGAAGGCGGGACTGGGTAGATGGTTCAGCAGGGAGAGCACTTGTGGCATTAGTATGAAGATCAGAGATTGGATCCATGCACTACAGTACAAGCTGGGCTGCTCTCACTGGTTCCTGTAACCCAAGCACTGGGAGGCAGAGACAGGAAGGTTCGGGGGCTGGAGCACACATGAGCTTCAAGCTGCGGAAGAAATGACTTTGTCAGCCGAATAGGGCAGTGAGTGCTAGAGGAGACCCAGTGCCCTCCCTTGGCTTCTATATGTTCCTGCACACACATAAATACAGAGTAATCAAGTCAAACATTTTGATGTTATGGTTACTGAATATCTGGAAATTTGAAAATTTTCAAGGATGTTTCTCAAATATTATCCTTTGGGATCAGAGCCTAATTGACTGTTCTTAGCCCCTATGTGACTGCTTTAGGAGTTTGCTTTTGTTTCCATGCTCAGGCTTTGATGTCCTTGAAAATGTCTTTAGCTGGGCATGAGCCTACTCAGATTGCATGCTCTAATTCAACTGGCTATGGTGACCATCACAAAGACCTGGTATTTGCTAGGCATTCCCACATGGTATTTCTCTGTTGAGGACATAACGTTTTATCCTCACACAGTGCTGTGCTACAGACACATTATTGTCACTTTCATTTTACAGAGAAGTCCACAGAAGAAGTAACTGTCACCACTGTCTCAGAGTTGGCAGGTCACTGGAGGCAGGATCTAGTTAAGACATCATACCCTCATTTCTTCAAATAAAACATTATTTGGACCAACTCCACCACTGAAAAAGGAATGCTAGCTTTAAACGTGTCAAACTTGGACTACAGAGATGCTCAGTTGTTAAGAACATTGGCTGCACTTGCAGAGGACCTGGGTTCCATTCCTAGTACCCAGATGATGGCTCCCAACTGCCCATAACTCTAGTTCCAGGGGATCCAATATACTCTTCTGACCTCCTCTGACACCAGGCACATATATGGCGCTCATATATTCAGGCATGTAAAACAATAAAATAAATATATAATAAGGTTAAATTTTTATTTATAGAATAGATTTCAATTTTTTTAAAATCTTAAAAAAAAAAAAAAAAAAAAGCTCCAAACCATCCAGAAAGCACTAAAAAGCTCAAGAGATAACAGGGAACTCCCCCACCAGGTCTTGAGTGAAGTCTCACAGAAGAGAGCACATGATGCTGAAGGCAATATCAGGCTCCCCTTCCCCTCCATGCTGGAAGCCCAACCTGCTCCCTTGTGGGGAGGAGCACACACACTCGGAAGCTGCTCCTCCCCGTCCAGAACCAGAGGGAACCTCAGAGCTGAGCAGAGAAGGAAGAGTGAGAGGAGAGCAGAACAGGCTATGACCAGAGCTGGACCTGGGCAGCTTTGCCTGGCCATACATGAGCCAGTGGGACACAGGACTGCATGCCGAGAACGTGGTCTGGAGTGGCCTCTCCACCTTAGGTTGCAGAAAACATCCCCAGATTTTAAAAGGAACAGCAACAGACCTCCAAGGCCGACAAAGGAAAGACAACAGACAAGGCAGCATGAAGAATGGTTGGGGAGTACAGCAGGTGCATACAGACTTAGGATCACACAGTTAAAAGAGGACAGTGGATGTGCAGTCCCCAGATTCTCTTGGGGGAGATGGCTCAGCGGCTGTAAGCATCACTGCTTGCAGGTGCCCCAGGTTTGGTTTGCAACTCCCACATCAGGCAGTTCAAAGCCACGTGTGTGTGTGTGTGTGTGTGTGTGTGTGTGTGTGTGTGTGTGTGTGTGTGTGTGTACGTGTACGCATACACTAACACACACACCAAAACTACATCTTTCTTAAAGGTCTCACTTGACCTGATAGCATATTGGACACAGCAGCAGGAGGATTAGTGAACTGGAAGTTCAGTCTGCAGTACTGCTACTGACTCTGCTTGACCATTTTGCTTTGCTCTGTGGGGATCTGGCCTTGCCCACCTAAAAGAAAACTCCAGTCACCCTGGTACACCTGTGAATAGCATGCTACCCTGAGTTATATGCACCTGGCCTGGTAATTTTCCGAGCAGCCCAACAGAACAGCAACCCCCTCTTCAGAAGAGATAAAATATGTACCTTGCTATCTTCATGCTCCTGACAGTTATACCCAGGAGTGTTGTGCTGTAAACAGTCCTGGAATCTGTTAACTAAATATGGGTCCTGGCTAAATGCCCAGTCACAGGCAATAGCTGGAGGGACTGGCGTGTGCTAGTTTGAAGATGCTGCCTTGAAAATCCTCTGGAGAGTCAGCTTTTGGGGTATATTCAGAAACTGGCCAGGATTTTTGTTTGGCTTGCTTGGTTTTATGTGCTCTTCGCTTAATCACACAAAGGTGCTCTAGACAAGAGCTGTGTTGTCCTTATTATATAGCTTCTATACTGCTGACAGCTGTCGGGTGAGGAAGTAACACCAGGCAGCCTTTTGACTGTAGCCCTTCTGTCAGCAATGCAGTACCTGGTTTTAGGTTTTATCTTCTTTCATATTGTACTTGAGGGGAGGGGAAAGGGCATGACACTATGACTGCAGTGTGAGCTCTGCTTTAGATTATGAAGCCTCAGGCTGTCATCCTAACTCTACATTCATGAGGTTCCAAGGCTCATCCTGTGCCTAAATTGGTCAGAGGCCTGAGTCTGCCTTGTGTGTTGTAGAGTGGGCCTCAGACCTTGCTGCCTACATTTGCTTGTCCTCCACCAGTGAGTGATCTTGGTTTGCTGCATGCTGTAATAAGTTCTCCATCTAGAGGCATTCAGAACCTTGTCTTAAGGACATCTCTTATTGCCACCTCATATTTGTGAATGTTTTCACTCTATATTTTTCTTCCTTTAATTCAGTTTTCTGTGTTTTAGTTTCAGTTCTCAGTTTATATTTGTTTTGGTAGCTCAGTGGGTAATTGAAGCAAATGTATGTAATCTCATCATCCAGCCCACCCAGGTACTTTGTATGAGAGTGCCACTTCTCTTTGTTTATTTTCTCTGTATTCTAGATAAATACAACAGCTTCAGAACTGTCATCCAATAGGAAGAAAAGCCAGAGAGGGGAAGGGGAAAAGGATAGGGAGGGAGACAACATTTGCTTGTTTCTTTAACAAGTCTACAGGGTTAATGTTAGAAAGAGCATCATCATAAGTTCTTTTTTGTTGTTTAAATTGTGCAGGAGACTGTGTGTGTGTGTGTGTGTGTGCACGCGCATACGTGTGTGCTTGGTGGTGGTGGTGGTGGTGGTGTGTGTGTGTGTGTGTGTATACCCACAGCATACATGGAGGTCAGTGGACAGTTTCTGGGAGAAGATTCTCTCCTTCCACCATGTCAGTTATGGGACCCCAACTCAAGTCATCAGGCTTGGAGACAAGCATTTTTGCCTATGGAATCATTCTATTGGCCCTCATTCCAAGTTTTTGATGGACTTGATAGCTATAATATATATGAAGGGTTAAATCCATCCTTAGAACCACATGAGTGATGGTCCCTTAACAGCACTCATTGGCTTCGTTGTGATGTGCCAGTAGTGGCTTGGGGTTCGAAGGGCTCCCAGTGAGGGGAGTAGACATGGAGAGGGATAATTGCAGTGCAGTGTGACAACTAAAAGTGAAAGTAATGCACGGTATTCTGTGTGTATGGAGGTGTGTGTAGTTGTATGTGCACAGGGTATGTGTGTGTAAGCCAGGGATCAACCTTGGTTGTCTCCACCTGCATTTTGTTAAAACAGGGTCTTGGTGAACTTGGAGCCCACCAGTTTGGCTAGACTAGCTGGCATTGTTGATGATAACAATTGTAGTCATGCTGTTATTCCCATAACTGGATGGCCATTTCCACACAAATACCTCCTAGTACCTGTCAAACTGACTAGGACTGGATAATGGGGTGTGGGTTAGGATCTCAGCCCTGCCATGACTAGCTCTGCTGACTTGAGGAACTATTGTACTTTTGTGGAACCTCATTTTTTTTTTAATTCAGTTGTTTGTCTGATCATTGCAAACATTTCTGTAAGTAATCTATGGGAGACCAAATCCTGGAAGAACAGACCAGTAGTCACTCACTCAGTATGCAGCTATTCCTGGTGAAGACTGTGCATGCCAGAGCTTCCTGGACCAGGCACCTGCTACACAACCTAAGGGAAGGGCCAGGAGTCCCATGAGGCACCTTGATTCCTGTCAGAAGAAACTCTACTGTATGGAATCAAACAGTGACAGGAGGTGAATCTAGGGAGACAAATTATGGCTGCTGTTTGCACCAGCCTGACTCTCCACCCTCCTGTATAGTTGAAATTATTTTCAGATAAAAAGTTAAAAATAAAACTTGAGCTATAATCTTTGAGACCCTTCTGTCCAAATCCAAGTAAGTCATATACAACTTTATACAATTTGTCTATCCCCAGTTAAGATCTTTGGATTAGAGGGAGATGGACATAGTGTCCAAGCCCTAGCTCCTTTGCTACCTTGGTTTCTGTCACATTAACTGGCTACCTTCACTTTCTTGATGAAGCAGTGACAATGGTCTTTCTCGTAGGGACTTGCTTCTAGAATGTATATATACATATATGGGAAATTGTTTTGCTTAGTGTAAATGCCATGCAAATTTGGTGGCTCCCCATGTTAAGCTCACATTCAGTATGTTCTGCCTGGGGTAATTTTCAGCAGCTTACAAGCTCCCTCCTGCTTTCTTACAGCCAGAAAGAATTTCAGGAGAGCAGTATGGCATCCACTCTGATGTGTGGAGCTTAGGAATCTCATTCATGGAGGTATGTTTGGTTTTGTTTGTTGTCATTGATACATCTGTACTAATACATCCCATTGGGAAGAATGGAGGCTTTGAAAGAGTATTACAAGCACTTCCCAGGGTGTTGTGCACACATGCATCATCTGACTCTGAAGTCCTGATGTGACTTTTGTCTGAGTCTGCATTATTCTAGAGCACTGCTTCTCACATGTCACCTGTGTAAGGCATACCTGAAGTGCTTGTTTTGCTAGCCCTGACCAAGACCAGGTCAGCCGAAGGCTCTGAGAATGTGTGTGGGAACTGTTCACTGGGTGGGAGCCTGCTTGGCCTGGAGTCCCGTTCTCTGAAAGGGGATTCCATAACAGCACAGGGTGATCGCAGCCTTGCAGTGTGCATGTGTGACATCCAAAGGGGATGGTTTTATAAGATAAGCTATAGTCATGTGGATACATCGGTTGAACATATGGCATATATCATTTTCTTTCTTAAAGAAAAAAAATGACATGTGGGGTGGAGGTGGTGTGATGGGGATGTGTGTGTAGTATCATTTCATGTCTTTACTCTTTGTTGCTGTATTTAGAATGGATTTTTTTCCTTAGTGAGCCAGGTGCAGCCCCATTAGAACTCATGCTAAGAAATAGCCATACAACTCACATTAGAAAGACACCTGGCTTACTAGAATTGCACTTCTAGACAACCTGGGCACTCATTGGGGCTTTCAGAACAGCTTTTCAATTCCGTCTATTCCCATCAAGGATGCCTTTAAAAAAAAAAGGAAAGAAAGAAAGAAACATGTTTAAATAACACCACAGATCAAGTTTCCATCACAACCCCATTGCTTTTGTTTGGTCAAATACATTTTCTATGATCTCTGTAACGCTTGAATGCCATTGTACTTGGAAGGAAATATCTTCAGACCCAGCTCACCTGCACAGCAGGAAGAATGCCAAAGTCAAATGCTCAATGTTTATTAAACCATATTCGTCTGCCTTTTCCCCAAAGGTAATCTAAGAGAAACTGTAGTATGTGCACAGCAGCCCAGAGGCTGAAGTTAGCAGGTAGATCTCGGGGTCTAGCCCTCAGCAGTAACCTGAGGCTTGTTCTAGTATTAGCCTGTTTTAAGGGAAACTGACTGTGATCGGTGGGACTCAGGTTTTGCTAGGATGAAATTTCCCTTTGGTGTTTTAATCATCCTCATTGGTTGAGTTTTATAAATGATCAGATACAGTGCAGAACAATTGAGAGGTCACATAGTTCAGAATCAGATGCTGGAAACAGGAGGCCCAGGTTGTAGTACTAGCAATAGTTTCCTAGGTGGTCCTGGGCCAGCCTGCAGTGCCCAGCAGGATCATTTCCTTTTCTGTGCAATAGTGAGGTCTGAGCCCCAGTGCAGACTGACATTCCACTGCTCTGCTGCTTTTATCTTTCCTGTAGTTCCTGTGTGTTGGAGGTAGAGGTGCACCCTCACCTCCTGGAAGCATAGAAGCACTGTTAAGAGGGCTGGGAATATTGCTCAATTGGGAGAGTAATTACATAGCATGCACCAAGCCCTGGTTTACTTGCTAGAATGTGATTCCAGCATTCAGGGATGGAGACAGGAGGACCAGAAGTTCAAGATCATCCTCATCAGATGCATAGTGAGTTGGAAGCCTGTCTGGGCTATATGATAGCATCCTGTGTTAAAAAAAAAAAAAAGTACTGTTACGAAAGTATATCAGGCTGCGTAGTGGCAGCACATACCTTTGATCCCAGTACTTGGGAGGCAGAGGCAGGGAGATCTCTATGAGTTCAAGGACAGCCAGAGGGCTACACAGAGAAACCCTGTCTTGGAGAAAGAGAGAGAGAGGGCATGTCCAAGCTAGTCTGAAGGAAGTAGTGAATTAGTGAATGATATTAATTGGTTGTTCCTCTTTCTCTCTATTGTACTTGACAAGTCTCATAAAGAGAAAAAGAGAGCCCCACCTGACTAGAGTTATTAAGGTATAGATGGGAAAAAATAAATCAGAGAGGTAGCTGGGGCTAGGTCACATACCACCAGGCTCAGGGCTTCAGATGTTGCCCTGAGAGTGAGTGATCTGACTTCAGTTTTTATCAGATCACAAGAGTGCTCTGTGGACATGACTGTAGGAGGACAGGTGTGGAATCAGGGATCAGAAAGATTGGGTAGAAAGATTGGAATATGCCCAATAAATATAATGTATTGAAGTATGTATCCTCACTGTCTTACTAGGTACTGGGAATGTGAAGCCTAATAAAAAGAGGCACTGCATTGTAGACAGAGAGATAGAATGCCAGTGTGTGTACTGTAGGCAGGGAGATTGCCAGTGTGTGTATTTGCCCTGGAGGCAAACTGGAAATAATCTCTGGGACACTGAAGAAAACAGACTCTTTGCATTTGTAAAATTGAGAAGAACTGGGCATAGGGAACTGTGAGAAAAGTCAGCTTTGAGTGTGGGGTGACTGGGTGCCAGGAGTATAGCGAAGTGCAGAGCAGGAGAACCCCATTACTGGATAAGGGCCAGGGAGGGGTAGGCTCTCCAATGCTCTGTGTTCATAAGTAGATGAGAAGGAATGAGTTGTGAGGTAGGCTGTAAGGTGAAGTGTACTTGGAGTGGCCAAGAGGGACAGGGTGTTTAACTAAGTATCATCCAGAGGAATATGGGGTGGCTGTCCCTGTCCTCTTAGAGCTCCTGACCCACTAAGCAAGTGACATGTGACCAGCTTAAGTAGTGGAGCAAAAGTCATTAGAGAATAGAGTACATCCTCCAGCACATATTTCATACCAAATGTATTTGGGGTCCAAGGTAAAGAAATGCATGATGAGGGAGAAGATTTTGATTCTGTAGCTGAAGTGTTGTGGTATTCAGGATACCTTCCTTCTTGGGGTCAGTGTGAGGAAAACACCATCCAAAGGGCCTTAGAACTTAGGTCAAAATAAGAACTCCAAGGCTAGGGCTCCTCTTTCTTTTTATCAGAGTATAGTTGGTCTAAATGTGATGAATATTATTCAAAACCACTACAGCCTGTAATTATTGCGGTTAAATAAGGATCAGGATAAACAAATAGGCCAAATAGATGTTTATTCAGGGAGAAATAACTTACAGCCTAGACAGATGAACACCAGCAATTTCCACCGGATGCTCTCCTGTCTGAGTCCAGCCAGCAAGAGAGCTTTTCCTGGCTCTTCCTCCGACCTCCTTCCACAGGTCACTTCTGCCCATGGCTCCACCCCCCAATGGACGTGGTCAGTGCCACAGAAGGACTATCTCACTACATGTAATCCTAGCATTCAAGCCTGAGGCCGGAAGATCATGATTTCCAGGGTAGCCTGAGCTACATTTAAAAAAAAGAAAGAAAGAAAGAAAGAAAGAAAACACAAGGTCGGGGGAGATAGCTGATTAAGTAAGCACTTTCCACACAGGCACAAGGACCTGCGTTCAGTCCCCAACACTCACACAGAAATGCATGCTGATGGAGCATGTGCATATTCTCAGCACTGGGGAGACAGAGACAAGTAACCCAGGGTGACCAGCTAGCCAGCCTGGCCTAATCATGGAGCTCAGGCTCCAATTGAAGAACCCTGTGTTAAAATCCCCTGAAACTTAAAGGGTGTTACCTGAGGGTGACCTCTGCCTTCACACACACACATGAACACACACACATACTGCTTCACATACACACATAAACACCCAACAGGCAGGCATATGTGTTGCAATGGCATTTTAAAATCTGAGGGACAAATTGCATCCTGAACCACAGTCAGCACATTCAAAGAGCTTTTCCTCTCCGTGTGTCCTCTCAAGATTAGAAGCCTTCTCTCATTCATCAGTTTTCACCAGTGTAAATGCCATGGGTTGGTTCTGCAGAGCACTGGCCACATAACTAGGAAGATGCTTTGAGAAGAAAAATGCAAGAACCCTGAAGTGACAGGCTTCAGCAAAGGTGTGGGTGAAGGCAGGAGGTTGACAAGAGGTTGGCATCAGAGTGGAATTGGTCCTGAAGGGAGCCTGCCACCAGGAGAAGGAGGGACTAAATGCTTATCCTTTCCTACCCATTCAGCCCTCTCTGAAGTAGACTACTGTAAACCCCTAAGGAAAGATTAGATGGCAGGGAGGAAGGTAAAGTCTCACAACAGTCTCCTGGCATATTCACACACCTTTCTCAGGGTGTTTTGAGCCAAACGGTTCATTCCCATAGATAATCTGTGGTAAAGAATAAAAGATGGGCAGCAGAATAGGAAGCCAAGCAAGGGCATTTCCCAGAATCACCCGGGGATGCAATAGAGACAAATGGGAGCTTCCTGTGTCTGCTGAGGTCCCCAGGACCCTGCCTCCTGTTCTGTAAACCTTCCTCTCTAAGGTTCATCCTTGGCAGCTCCTTCCTGCTGCCCCTTCCTTTCCTGTTCATATGCTGTCATGGTCCTATAGGAAGTCATAACAAGACCTCTTGCCACACTCTTTCATAAGAGATGATGCTACATACCACTAAAGTGTGCAGATAAAAAGAATCACAGACAGCTGCATTTGTGCCTTAAGCAAAGAACCTTTAATATCAGACTATCTTTTATCTGTCCCCCTCTCCTCTCAGGTCAGCAGCCCTTTGCCCCCGGGATAGAGTGGGTCTCCTCCAGATGTCATCTGTGTGAAGTATTTGGAGTTGGCAAAGTAACACAAAGATTGAAATAAGACTGTTTAACCTGATTGAGGACAGTGGCTTCTTGGGAGGGGGTGGAGAGATTCTGCCCCTTGTCTGCTGTGTGCTTACGGTTTTTCACACAGATCTTTTAAGTGTTTGTGGCTCCCCTCCTGTGGATTGGTTATAAAGCCAAATAAAAGAAGTCTCAGTGTATGGGTTTGTGTGGGCTCACTTTGTAGTGGGAAGAGATCCCATGCAGACTTAAATTCTTCCGTTAGAATGCACCAAGAGTGTGGAAATGCAGAGAGTAAAGCAGTGGACGGAGAGGTGAGACCAACAAGACCACAGAATCCCGAGCTGTGAAGAGCTGGAAGCTCCCTTCCACCT